ACGATGTGTTTTCGAAATTGTGGGTTCTAGAAGTATGACAAAGGCTGAGATCCCCTAAAGCCCGCACACCTATGATGGTGCACAAGGGTTTAGGGTTTTAGGGTTTAGGGTTTAGAGTTTTAGGGTTTAGAGTTTTAGGGTTTAGGGTGTAGGGTTTAAGGTTTAGGGAATATCATTGCAGACCTTTGTAGGGACGTGTTTTGTCCATTCCTTTTGTAGTTTCGGGGCATCCACAAGTATGTATGAATACGATAGGAACATACAGAGAGATGATATCCCAAAGTGCCTCGGCTAATGACTCACCTCTTCGGATGGCCTAGGAGGAGCAGACAGGCTGGGTGTTTGGTCCTAAACCCTAAACCCTAAACCCTAAACCCTAAAACCCTAAACCCTAAACCCCAAACCCTAAACCGATGTTGGGTCAACATCTACAAGCGGCGGCCCATCACGAACAAAAGCCTAAACACGGTGACCCTGAGAAGGGGCTTATAGGGTTTAGGGTTTAGGGTTTTAGGGCTTTAGGGGTTTAGGGGTTTAGGGGTTTAGGGTTTGGGGTTTGGGGTTTTAGGGTTTAGGGTTTAGGGCTGGGAAGTCTTGAGATAAGGCACAGTATGTGCCCGCTTCACAAGGCTGTGGCAGGGAATCCCGGCCAACTCGGTCGGGAGCGCATCGCCTTGGAGAAAAGCGTTCAGGGCTTAGGGTTTAGACCGGCATGCAAAAAGCAGTAGGGTCCAGGGTTGAAGGGTTACAAGAGTTCAGAATTTGGGCTTAATTCAGGGAGAACTTCGCGCAAAAAGCCTCGGGCGCGTGTGCCTACAGGTGCAAAACTGGTGATCTGAGAGAGGGCGGATTCGCGAGAAAACTTCGGAAGCACGGGCACGGATGGGCTTCCCCCATGTTTTTTGAAGCCCCTAAACCCTAAACCCTAAATCGAAGACCCCTTCTAGATTTCTAGAGACCATGAAGTCCAGGGGCGCACCATCCAGGAATGAGCCGCTCACCTGCTTCAAAGACTTAGGTACACTAAACCGCAGCAAAAAGCCGTCTAGACACTCATCACCTAAACCCTACACCCTAAACCCTAAACCCTAATCCCTAATCCCCAAACCGTAAACCCTAATCCCTAAACCCTAAACCCTAAACCCTAATCCCCAACCCCCAAACCCTAAACCGCTAAACCCTAAGGATAATTGATTTGGAGAGCTCAGAGCTTGAACCTGAAACCCCAAAAACGGCTCCCAAGCTATGAACCCTGAAACCAGCGACTCCTACATCCCAGGAACATGGCACAGAGGCTTACGCGATGTTCACCGTAAGCCTTGAACCTGACATCCCTAAAACCCAAAAGCTCTGGAGTCTAAGCCCTCGGAGGTTTTTGGGCAATGCCTTCTAAACCCTAAACCCAAGAAGAACACACACAGTTGCACCTTCGGGTCGCAGGAGATGTTGATGGCCGCAGAGGGACAGAAGTCGCCCTCCGGGCAGCTCATGGTGTGTCCAGTGCCGGCTGGGCAGAAGTAGCCTGAAAGACTCAGCTTAAAGGTAACAGGGTTTAGGGTTTAGGG